TTTTCATTCAAATTCCCAAGATTTATCCTAAATATTCCGGTTAGTTTCGATTTTACTTTACCTCTGAAGAAAAGACAAACAATGAAATTTTCGATAGAAATTAAGAATCTTGATGGTCATTACGGCTTCCTTCCAAATGTAGTCCATCTTTTACTTACTTTAATCCTGGATGAGAGAAAATCGTTGTTGTTTTTTTAGCTTTCGAAGCAGTTTATCTTTTCATTAAATTTCTTATGTTTCAGTCTTGATTTTTCTAAGGAAAATACAAAGAGATTTGTTACTTAATTTTGTATTAAAATACACACTTTTGTGCGTTTTTCCAAAAATTTTATATTTTTTCATTAAAATTACTAAGATTAAACCCTTGGTATTTTTGGCAAATTTCATGAAAAAAAAATTTTCCCCTGTTATTCGATTAGAAAGATAAACTTAATGTACGCTTTTCAAAATAAAACTATTTTCATTGAAACTCCCAAAATTGAAGCCTAGATTTGTCCTGAATATTCTGTTTAGTTTTCATTTGACTTTTCTTCTGAAAAAAAAAAGACAAACAATGGAAGGGCTTTAAAAATAGGAGTTTTTGATCAAAATTCATAAATCTTGATCGTGATTACGGCTTCTTTCCAAATCCATTCCGCCTTTTAGTCAGTTTTTATTTTGGATAAGAGAGAGTTATTTTATATATAATATATTAATTTTATATATAATACTTTTTATTCAATTCCTTGTTGTTCAGTCTTGGCTTTTCCTAAGGAAGAAACACAAACAGAGATTTGTTTCTTAATATTGTATTAAAATACGTCCTTTTTTTCGCGTGTTTCCAAAAATTTAGTTTTTCATCAAAATTTCCTTTGGTATTTTTCGCAAATTTCATTAACATTTTTTTTTTCTGTTATCCGACTAGAAAGATGCACTTGATGTGTGCTTTTCAAAATATAACTCTTTTCATTGAAACTCCTGAGATTTAAGCCTCGATTTGCCTTATATATTCTGGCTAGTTTCAACGTTACTTTGCATCTGAAACAAAGGAAACAATAGAAAGGCTTCAAAAATAGGAATTTTCATTCAAAACTTTATAAATCTCCATGGTCGTTAAAGTATCTTACAAAATTTAGTCCACCTATTTTAGTTAGTTTCGTAAGAGAGAGTTCTTGTTTTTTAGATTTCGAAGCGATATATTTTTAATTAAGTTCCTTATGTTTCAATCTTGACTTCTTGTAATAGATGAATATAAACAGAGATTTCATACCTAGTTTTGTTTAAAATACGCATTTTTTTCGTGTGTTTCCAAAAATTTATTTTTTCATCGAAATTACCAAAGCTACACCCCTGGTATTTTTCAAAAATCACCAAATAATATTTTCCCATGTTATTCGTCTAGTAAGATGCACTTGATGTACGCTTTTCAAAAGTAAAGTATTTTCATTCAAATTCTTAAGAGTTAAGCCTCGATTTGTCCTGGATATTCCGGCTAGTTTCCATTTCCCGTCCTACCAAAACATGCTCGCCCTTTCAGCCGTGGGGGCGTTATAATGTGACGGTCAATCCCACTATTCGTCGGTAAAAGAGTAGCCCAAGAGTTGGCGGTGTGTGTCTTACACTGCTAAATTAGGGACGGTTAGCGCAGATAGCCCTCGTGTAGCTTTGCGCGAAATTCAAAAACAAATAATTTCCATTTTACTTTACTTCTGAAAAAAGAAACAAAGAGAGAAACAATGGAAGGGCTATAGAAGTAGTAATATATAAATACTGATGGTGATTAAGGCTTCCTTCAAAATTTATTCCGCCTTTTAGCTAATTTTCATTCTGGAGAAGAGGGAATTTTGTTTTAGCATTGGAAGCGATATATTATTTTTCATTAAATTTTTTACGTTTCGGTCTTCGAATTCTTTAAAAAAAGAAACAGACGGAGATTTGTTACTTAATATTGTATTAAAATACGTCCTTTATTCGTATTTCCAAAAATTTAATATTTCATCATATTTACCAAGATTATACACTTGGTATTTTTCAAAATTTTCCTAATAATATTTCCTCATGTTATTCGTCTAATAACATGCACTTGATGTACGCTTTTCAAAAGTAAAGTATTTCCATTCATATTCCCAAGATATTAGCCTCGATTTGTGGTGGATATTCCCGCTAGTATCCATTTTACTTTACTTCTGAAAATAAAGACAAACAATGGAAGTTCTTCAAAAATAGAAAATTTCGATGAAAATTAAGAATCTTGGTGTTCATTACGGCTTCATTCCAAATTTACTCAGTGTTTTAGCTAGTTTTCATTCTGGAGAAAAGGAAGTTTGTTTGTTATTTTAGCTTTGGAAACGATATAATGTTGTCTTTTCATTAAATTGAGTTATTCTAAGACATAAACGGAAATTTCATAGTTAAACAAAACTGTCCCTCTATTTACCAGTACCAAATAAGACATAAATATTTAAACTTTTTCTTTGTGTTTTTTTTTCTTCTATTAATAATAATAATAGTGTGAACTTCTAACAAACTTTGGTGGCGAAAGGAGGCTTGATTAGAAAATAATTTATTTTGTTCATTATGGGACAGGCTGGCGAAATACTGTCTACCGTAGTCTTTACAGAATAATTCAATGTAACACAGCATAAAAATATAGAAACAAGAATATAAAGTTTCTGTAGAAGTACAAAATCACATTGGCAAAATTCTTGGAATAGGGACACTTGGCTTTCTTCTGGAACAATCAAAGGTGATCTCATATGGGTCTTCTCCTATGCTGTCTGATAGAGAACTTACCGGAAAAGAAAAAAAAATCAGTATCTTTTGAACTTTGTGTTATCATATTCTGTACCATTGTATTCTCTAGTCTGTACCGTGCATTTTGTATTGTTGTATTCTGTACCATTGTATTCTCTAGTCTGTACCGTGCATTTTGTATTGTTGTATTCTGTGCCATTGTATTCTCTAGTCTGT